GTCGGTGTATCGTCCTTAAACGCTCCAGCTTCTAAAAAACGTAGGCGATGGGTAACGCAAAGGTTATAAAAAACCGCATGTGTATTTGCCGAATAGTTGCTCGATGTGAGAACAAGAAAATGTGTAAAAAAAAGTAATAGGTTTTATCAGGAATAGCATCCGATGCTTTTGAGATAAAACAGTGAGCAACAGTCAGTGACCTGAGTTTTAAAGTTAATAGTACTTCAGATATATTCACCTAGTTTCAAAGGAAGACATACTTATAAATCTTGGTTCTAGATGATGAGGAGGAAAGTGGAGGATACATAGTTTCATCGACCCTAAGTTCATACTACAAATTCTAGTGGTCTAATTTTCGATAAGTATTCGGTGAGGCAAATACTTGGTTTATATTTTTTTAACGTTATACCACAAATACGCGAATCTATTAAATGGACATAGAGTATATGGACTTGTAGAGGTGGAGAGAGCATAATGTGAACAGACTGTTAACAGGACCTGAGAACTTACGGTCATTTGCGGCGGAATTCATAAATGAGAGAAGTCTAAAGCATGCTGTGTGAGCCTCAAATATAACAAACCTTGATATGAGTGGGGAATTTAACAAATTGTGGGCAAAATCGGCCATTCCGGCAGATTCATCCGAGCTAGGGATGACAAGTGAAGGTTTGATATAAGAGCAGCCATCGTAGCAAGCCGCTTTATTTTCTGTTGAAGTCTCCGATGCGGAACACTGATCTCGGCAGTAAGCATCGACTGGGTTTTGATCGCCATTTCGACCCGACGAGAGCGTACACCCCTTAGTGCACGACGAACGCAAGTTGTCAACATTCTAAGTCTGTTAAAATCAATAATTAGAACTTACGTAGACGGTGGCACAAAAATGTTCGCATGATGCGGACGCCCCACTCAATAAATTGGCGGAAAATAACAAGAGCAAAGCCAAGGGTAGCATCCTGAACGACGCGCTTCTTATGAATGCTCGTAGCTATGCCGATAAACAAGACATAAGTTGTGTACCTAAGGTGAGCAGTTTATACTTCTGAAAATACTTCACGGCAGAAAATAGTTCAAGATGGTTGTTGTGAACTTTCCTATTCTACTTTAATGTTGTGGAACAAATCTGCAACCGAAGCTTATTGTACAACTCTTTATTATGAAAGTACGCCTTTCATCTTTGGGTTCCCTATTCATGCACAAAAATAGCAAAAAAAATAATTTTTAAGATAGCACTTACTTTTTGTTGACTAAGTAGGCCGTCTGATATGAACAATTGTTCGCGGCCACTGAAAAACCCACATCCAAATTACTTTTAAATGCACAAAATTAGCGGGATTGTTTAGTTTTCGAGGAGAAAAAAATGTAGAAATCATAAGCTGCATGTGGCTGTCTGCTGCCGGTGAATCAGAATATTTTGGGAAGACAGCAGAAGCAACCATCGAGGTGGAGAGGTAGCAGGAACCCACCGCGATTGATCACATTCCGTTTACAGCTATAAGCGGTAATTAAAGGCTGCGAACAACATCGAGGCGCAGGCAGATGGAAAAATGATACTTCTTTGCTGACCGACCAAACTACCAGGGGGGTGGCGGGGACAGATTAATTTGCTGTGATCGTCAAGATATCGCTTGGGGTCAAAATCAGAAGGGGGGTGGTAATTGCGGTAGAGTTAGAAAACAGGGAGATTATTTCCCATGAATAGTGGTGTGTGCACAAGAAATGCTACTGCCTTACCTGCAGAAAAGACTGCATTTTTAGGAGACGACGGAATTTTGAGAGTGAGTTGCTATATCAAGCAGTCTGAAATACCAAGTAACGCTACAGCGGCTTTAGAAGAATCACACGTAACGGGAACCCGATGAAAGTCTTCAGATACCGGACAGGTTAAACAAAGCTGAACATTTTTCTGAGTTCTTTCAGTTGGTTTTCACCGAAGAAACTGCCTTCATCCCACCTAGTGGTGAGATCGCGGGAGCGCCAATTATTCAGGGTATTCTGTTTGGAGAAAAGTGATTTTTAAGAAATAAAAAGCTTGAAGGAATGTAAATCTCTCGGTCCATATGAGATTCCAGCAAAACAGCTCCAGGAACTTCGTAGAGAACTGGCTAAACCGTTGTCCGCCATATGTCAGCAACTTTTCGATACTGGAAGTCTCCTCCAGATTGGAAAAACAGCTCACATAACACCGCTTCAGAATAGTGGTATTCGTGCACTTGCGGAAAACTGAAGACCCGTCCGTCTGACCTCCATGTGCTGCAAGATAATGGAGATGATGATTAAAAGGGAATTGATGACATATTGTGAATCCCACAATCTCTTGTCCAATGCGCAATATGGTTTTCGTATGGGTAGGACGTGTGTTACAGACTTGTTCTTTACGGTTCAATGCTGGACAAAGATCATTTATGCAAATAACATCGTACGTGCAACTTACTTTGATTTCCGGAAGACCTTCAACAGTGTCTCACACCTACGCCTCCAGCACAAGTTAGGAGTAATGGGCATCGGAGGCAAACTTCTTACGTGGATTGACAATGTCCGCGCTGGTCGTTCCCTAATTGTGTGTAGGATGACAACGTTAAAGGCCGACAGTTGGCGAGAATGGAAACTTTCAGGGGCAAAAGACAACCCGATCGCAATCGAGTTGTCTTTTTATCAGTTACTTCCTGGGACTCGTATGTTCGCTTGTATTGGCAAACCCCCAAGGTTCAGTGCTCGGGCCGACCATTTTCACTGGTTCGTTCAATAGACTGTTATCGTGCCATGTTTTCAGGTGATATAAAATATGGAAGGTCATCAAGAGTGCTGTCGGTGTAGACGACTTCCAGGAAAACCTTTGTTGATAAAACGATTGGTCACGCAGCTGGAATCTGTCCTTCAATTCGAAAAAATGCACTCTGCTGCGTCTGGGACATCAAAATCCGGTCGTTGATGTGCAAACGTATTATCTGAACGGAATCCCATCCCAAGATGCAGAAATACAGAATGATCTCGGCAGTTGGATGACAGACAACCTCAAAC